TGGTAATATAAGAAATTAATTACTGGAACATAGGCAGGGGAGATATGCCCTGAAAGTTAGCTTAGAAAGCTGCAGTTACTGAAGGATGCAGTTGCCTTCTGCTCAGCCATTTGAACTTGTATTTCCACAACCAATTAAACATCTGCTTGTGGCAAGCACAGCAGCATCTCAGGCAGTGGCCTTTTTCATCACCTGCTACTTGATCTTTCCAACCAGAACAGGGACATTCTTCATGTAAATCATGTGTTCTGCCACTGAGTCTTAAAATCAGAAAACACATCTTATTATACTAGCATGGCAAAAGGAAAAGAGTACCTAGATACTTACAGGTGGCCCTTAATGACCACCCATTCAGCAACCATTCGAACTTACAATGGCACTGAAGGAGTGGTACTTGAGACTAGTCCTCATACTTACCACAGACTCAGTGTCCCCGCGGCCTCATGATCATGATTCAGATGCTCGTCACCGGGCTCACAATCAGGACGTCACAGTGTCCCACAGTCACATGATCATCAGTTGCAATCTTCACTGCTGGCTTCTGACAAGCAAAGTCAGTGGGGAAGCCAGCAGGAGGTCGCAAATGGTGAGTCGTGTTTAACAACATCACAGGATCCGCTTAATGACAGCAACCAGAAGTACCGGAACTGCTGTCTCTAAGCAATGCAGTGATATGATCTCACGCTTTATGACTGTGTTGCTTAGTGACAGAAATTCTGGTCCCAAGTGAGGACTACCTGTACTTGCTGGCTCTTGCCCATCTCTGGAAAACATAGGAAAAAGATGTTTCCTCCAGCTTCAGCCTTGTTGTAAACATAGAATTATGGATCTCATTGTGGCTGGAATGGATTGCACATTTGATTTGCTATCAATATTCTAACAAAGTGTAATCATCCTTTTGATCCAGCTTCTGCAGAGTTAGTGTGACTTAGCAAATCTGTCACCGTGATAAATACTGGCAGAGGAACATCTGGAGAAATATGAGCACAACATGTTTGAACTAAATGATCACTTAATCATTTCTGTCATTTTATGACTCTTGGCCTTACAAGCATTTATTTTTCCCACCAAGGCAAACATTTTTTTTTCTAGTATCAATGAGAATTCTGCCATGTTTTTCAGCCCCTGCTTTTATTGCTTTTTGCAGCTTCGCTACTGTTCATTTTCAAATCAGCATGGGAAGAAAGTTGCCTGCTTCAGTCATTTCCCAATAGCTGTCTGTACTGTGGAATTTATTGACTTTAAAGATCTGCCAAAATGGAGGGACCACCATCATCACTGTTCTTAAAATGCCTTGATGGTGGTTATAAATTCTTGCCATGACTCCATGTTGACGGCACTGTTATTCTAAGATCTGTACGTGGTCTTATGTGAAGATGAAACTCTTGAGAAAGCGAGCTTCTTCATCTCAGAAAACATCTCTCTGCATATACCAACCATATGTGTATGGGAGAACTTTTGCATACAGAAATGTCCTGCATGTATGCAAGCTTATTCCTTATTACAGAATTGATTGGAATAAGACAACTATGGAAATTTTAGATCAGTACAATATTTAGTAGTTGAAAGGTTCAACCTGGCATATATGGTAGCCATAGCTTATTTAACTATGGTTTGTTGAATATACCACTATTGGCTAGATTCACATATTGTACTAACCCATAACCCATGATTTGCAGTGGTTGGGTTCATCCAATATGCTACACCAATAATAATTAAATATACAACATGTGAATCTAGTCTAAGGGATAGATTAGTGAGGCCTATATCGGTTTTACAATCAAACTAGGTGGTACCAGAAATTTTAACAGTTTCTGAGTCAAAGCTAATTTTTTCCACAAGTTGGAACTGGAAATCTATAAACTGAAAACTGAGCCCTATATGTATAACAGGGATCCTGTTCCCAACAATGGCACATGGAGATCCATGCAAAAAGTGCTTTGCTATGCTTTTGTTGACAGGTAGAAGACCCTACCCCTTATTCCAAGTGTGTAGGATAGTTTTTTAAAAAAATAAATCTCAGAGTATATAGGATATATATTTTTTTTAAATAAATCTCAGAGATTTGCCCACCTGGGTTTCAAGTTCAAGTTCAAGGCCAGATGTACAGAAGGAGGGTGATGCTAATCTGCAAAGACACTGTACTAGTGCCCATCGCTTTTGCTCCTAAGCATACTGGGTACCAGTGCCTGTTTGCTGAGATGGGCTATAGGGGCAAGCTAGGGACCAAGCTGCTGGTATCTTAGCCCCTCTGCTGCCCACCAGTCTCCCTTCCCAAACACCTGGATCTAGGCTTCTTGTTGAAGTCCCCTCACTTTTTGGTGTTGCCTGATTTCAGGCTCCATGCTTTATGATTTGAGAAGGCTTGGGAGTTGACCCAGTTAAGTATATTACAGCAATATAGCTGTAGAGAAGGAATAATGAAATATGAGTCCCTGAATATTTCCAGCTAAGACTTTGAAGTTCACCTGACTTAAATTAAACTTCCTTCATCCACTGAGTTCTGTATGCTTATTACTAAGGCAAATCTATAATGTAAGAAGATAGGTTTCTTTTCTTTCTTTTTTTTACCAATTATGTCAATGCATTTACAAACAGTAACAGCAGAATGTGGATTTTAACTTGTTAGTAGAAGTACGCAATAACAGGATGTCAGTTGATCTGCATTTGTGAGTAGAGAGATATAATACGTGCCTATCTGATTATCTTAAGGGGTCTTATATGCCTTTTTATTTAGGGGGAAGGGGTGTTATTTCTGATTACAATAGATTCTTCCATACCTGAGAGGATTCTTTGTGTACAAAAATGTGTCTGCAAATACAAGCAGACTGGCATAGATACTTCTATTGTTCTGGAATTTGCACTGATTTAGTCAGGGCACCAGGTATGAAATTTGCCCCATCTGCCCTCCTGGAGAAGATTTAGAGGAAGTAAACTTTGAGGATTGTAGGCAGGAAAGACTTTGTCATTATGGCCATCTATAGCATTAATTCTAAATACAGAAATCAGTAAAAGCAGTTTCATTGCATCTGAGGTTGGTCTGCTGTAAAATGAGAAAAAATAAATGTAGTGCTTTTGAGTTACTTGTAAGCTACATGATTAATGAGTAGTTAAAATTGGGGATTTGGTTCAGTCAGCCAATTTGAATGAATGAATGAATGAATGAATGAATGAATGAATGAAATAATAATAACCAGATTTAAGGCAAGTAAGTGCAACTGTGACAATTTCATTCCTGTAGTGCACTCCAGAGCAACTTAGTCGTCTTCCAGACGACTTCCAGAAGTATTCCAGTAGTATTCCACCAATAGTTAGGGTGCTAGTGTTACTTCCAAAGGAAGGGTGTTCTATAATAGGAGGTCATAATTAATCTAAATTTAGCCCTGTGAGTCATTTCCCCTTTCATTTCAGATCTGGGGGAAATGAGATATACACACTAGACAAGAAGGCAGACCTAGGTGCAAAGCCTTAAAGGGTTTTATATGTCAAAAGCAGCATTTTGAACTGCACCTGGAAACCTACAGGTAACCAGTGCAGTGACCGTAAAACAGGTGTTATGAGAGTGGTGAGTCTGATGCACCAATATGCAAGATGCTGCATTTTGACCAACTGCATTTTTCAAACAGTCTTCCAAGGCAGTCCCATGTAGAGCTCATTGCAGTAATCCAAGCAAAGGGTGGTAAATGCATGAGTCGCTGTGGCTAGGATCTGCTTCATATATGGCCACAACTGATGCACCAGTAAAAGCTGGATGAAGGCCCCACTAGACACAGCAAGAGCCAGGAATCCAGGAAAACCTCAAAATTACAAACCTATTCTTTTAGGGGAGTGCCCCTCCATCAAGATGACCAAGAATGTTTCTACATAAACTATAATTCTATCATAGTTTCAACTTCAAGCTGTTTCATCCCATCAACAGCCTCCAAACACCAGACTGAAATGAGTCTAGTTCATCTGCATCTTGAAGGGGACTCTGCAGCTGAACCCCTACCACTCTCTCAATGGTCTCCAAATAGAAGTGTATTGATCAACAGAAGGTGGAAGAAGCAGTGAGAATTTAGATCTGCAGTTGTAGCAGTGGTACTCCTCTTACTTCAGTTGCAAATCCTTTGAGGTTGCCATTATTCCCTCATTATCTCACTGCTGTCAGAGACTCCCTTAACTTTACCGGTCAGATGCAGAAACAATTGCTGGTGAAGATAAAAACCATTGCCAGTGAAAACTAGCATATTGCAGCAGGACATGGGAGGCCCAGGTCCAAGTCCACCCTTAGCTGTGGAAACCTATTGGAGGGTTTGGGCTGTTCTCTTTCTTGCTCAACCCAGCCTACCATACAGGATTGCTGTTGTGGGGATAAACTGAAGTGATGAAGGCCATCTTCAGCTCTTGGAGGAAAAGTAGAAGGTAAATCTAATAAAGAAACTAGCAGCTAAAGATGAAGAAGATGGTTTCTCTCATACGTGCCATAGTTTCCTATCTCTGCCATGTATACAGATGGGAGGGAGGAATGGGGAAGAGGAATAAATGAATAAAATCAGGTAATTTCTCACCCTCTTCTTGTTCACTTTGTTTTTGTTTTGTTTTGAGGGGGTAGTGTTTCAGCTTTAGAAAAAGCATTACCATCTGGAAAACAGTAACCATTTTATCAGAACTCAGGTAACAAATACAACTGTAGTCCTTCCTATGAATAGCTATTGGCTCCATCATTCCAGCAAGTACCTATGCAGACCTGGATATTCCCAAAGGTAAAACATTAAATGGGGGAAAAAAACCTAAAGATTGTACGCTTTATTTTTTAAATTGTTGATTCCACTTTAGCTAAGCACCAACTTAATGCATGTGAGTAGCTCGTTTTTCCTTAATGGGTGCAAAGCAATAGAATTAGAATGTTACTATTCGTAAATGAGAAAAGAATTCACTTATTATAGAGTCACCATCCCACACATCTTGACAATGTTCCTTAATGAAGCACACACAGGATTGCCATCTATGCTGTTTTTTTCCCCATGCTTTATTAATAAAGTGCTTTTAATCTGTAGAAGCATCAATACAATTGCATTTGAATGAGTATAAAGCTTTTCTGAGGGAGGAGGGAAATCTAAGGTACATACAGGGAAGTTACCAGTGTGGAAGGACATGCAGATTAGTGCTGGACATCTTGCCAATAACCATTTGACAGAGAACAGAATCAAATCCATATAGAAATCAAAGGAACAAGAAAGGCTTCCATTGGTGCTTCAGTGCTTTGAATGGGATTTTACTATTATTCTCTTTAACTGGAGTGGGATGATGGGTTCTTATCTATAGAAGGCAGCTAAGCACCATGTCACAAAAACATTTGCTGCTTTTCATGAACAATCCATGGAGTTGCACAGAGAATTGCACGGTTTCCTGTAATCTGCTTGCAGGAAGGAATCTTGATAAATTAACTCCCCCATCCCCACTGATTATGAAGCACAGCCATTTAGAGTGACAGTTACCCGGTTTCAAATGGACATCACTTTTTTTACATTACAGCAGCAATTACAGAAACACTTTTAAAACTGGCATTTTCTTTTTTAAGTAGTGCAATTTTTCATCTTGGCACACATCAATCTTACTCACAGGAAGATTGACTTTGAGACTGCATAATAGCCCATATTGTTTTCTTGGCAACAATATGGAATTGGCTGGGTATTGCTGCCTTCTGGATTTCCCCTGCCCCTCTTGACTATAGTCCTATTTTCTGGGAGGTCTCCCATACAAATGGTAACCAAGTCCAACCCTGCTTAGCTTTTTAAGATAAGCCAAGGTCACCTGGCTGTTGCACGAAATCCCAGAAACTAAGCTCAGCTCAAAGGAGGCTTTACTTTACATGGAAAGAGCCATGACTGATGCCACAGCAAATGTAATGTATTTATAATTCTGAGCAAAAGTTTCAAAAAGCTGTCTAGCTGACCTGTATCAGGAGAGAGTTCATTGGTAGAGTGATCTGAAAGGGAGTGGGACTCACCAGCACTTCTGAGTTCCTCAGTGCTGGTTATCGTTACTCCACACCCTGGAATGACTTCCTATCTTCTAAGAGGCGTTGATTTAAAAAAATTAGTGGGTGCCATTGGGAACTGCTAGGAAAAACAAAGCAAGGCTAGAATGCTCCATAGGAATTATGCTACTTAAAGCTGCAGTATAGATTGTCTTCATGCACTGCTGTAGCGCTTATGCTACTTTCAAGATGTCATATGACCTCTACCCCTGATCTTTTACAAATGCATTAGGATTAGATAGCACTATAGTTCCCCACATTCTGGAACTCTCGCCTTATTGGAGGCAAGCCTGAGGTGAGAGTGAGTTATGGTTCTGGGATAATTCTTTCCCAAAAGCTTCAAGTTCCATTATTTTCCCTGCTCAATACTGGGATCCTTGCCTTTTTTTCCTGAGAGTCTTCCTCACTTCCCTGGCTTTTGCATAGGGGTCAAAATAGTAGATGGGGTATTTTTGATGAAGCTTATAGGAGAAGATAAGTCAGAATGGTGGACCACACGGAGATGTCATGGATTACTTCCACGATGGGTTAGACTATTATTTTCCAACCTGGCCATCTTATGGTTGTGTGGACTTCAACACCCAGAGTTCTCAGCAATTGCCATGCTCGGCTGAGGAATTCTGGAAACTGGAGTCCAGACATCTGAAAGTTGTCTAAGTTGGGAGATAGCAGGTTAGGTAACAGATGTCTAGCGTTTTACCTCTTGTAGCCCCAAGAATCCCTCACAAAATAATAATGCTGAATTATACATTTTATTGTGACACAGAGGGAAATGCATATCATACGTGGGAACGGTCATATTAACCAGAGTTACTTAATTCAATTTTAATTACATTTAAATTAAAATAAATCCAAATTAGTTATGGCCTAAGCCTCTCTAACTTCTATCCAGGTGCTTCCCACTTCAGCAATGTGTCCCCCTGTACATCGCCCAAAGGCCCACCAGGGCTTTAATACTGAAAAAAACTGAGCACCTTGGGATATTTAGGCTTCAAAGAGCCTTGACAAATAATTAATTCCCAATGGCACATCAGTATGTTCTATTACAGAAATTTGGAATGGCTTCATTTGAGAGGCAGGTATGTTCCCAAGACAAGAAGATGGTCACTGGCATGGATACTTTTAAAATTTTATTTTAAAGGACCAACACAATAAATCACGAAGACAACAACATATACTTTTAATACTGAAAGCTTTCCTTCCACAACTATGGTCTGCAGTTTCACAGCTGAAGTTAGACCTGGAAACAGTTTGTCTTTTTAAATAGTATCTCAAAGGTAACATTGCAAAAAAGAGAGAACTAAAAAAGAAAGTAAATCACCACATGGAAAACCTTAAATACATCAATTGCAAACTCAGTGTGCTTGTTTTCTTTTGGGAGGGTGTGGATAAACCTGTGGAGATATTAAAGTTCTTCAAAATCATGCACACTTGGATTCATCACTTCTGGGTGCATTACTCTCCCCATGAAAATGATGGTACCTTAAAGAAAGAAAAGAAAAGCTGTAGGAAGACAGATTCCAAATAACAACAACAATAAACCCTTAAAAAAGGTCAACAGTGGAACAATTATCCAGAAAGGTAATGACTTCTCCTTTACTGGGTGGGTTCAAGGAAAGGAGAGATTACAAAGACTGTGTCCTCCACTGCTGGACGGGTCTCATTGTTAGGTAGTTTTCCTAAAGTTTCACCAAAATCTGTTTTCCTGAAAATTTCATCCACTGGTTCCAATCTTGTCCTTGGAACAATAGTTATGATCCAGCCCTACTTCTCTAGAGGACACTTGGGACTACTTGTAATGAATGAAAAAGATATCAAGGGACTGATGTGATGTCTCTCCTGCATCAAGTACATATTGGTCCTGAGATAGGATTATCCACCCACAAAAGAGCCTCTGATGAAAGATAAAAGAAACAAAGAGAGTGTAGAGTTTAGAATATCTGCTGGTCCTTAATAGTTTATTTTCATAATGAATGAGAATCCTGGGAAAGGAATCAAACAAGTAACAAAGAATGTTTTATGCTACCACCTGAGGGTATAAATATTTGAGTATGTATTTAGTTTATATTTATTTTCAATTCTTTGTTTTGTAATTTAGATTTTTATCTATAGATATCAAAGGTATGTATTTCTTTTGAGTCTTACCTTACATCTGTTTCACAACACATATAATCAATTGTAATGAAATACTTTTGCTTAAAAAATGGATTTTTTAAAAAAGATTCTGCCAGGCACAAGTTTTCTATTTTTATACTGTCCAATCCAACTTTGGGTTTATTCATATGAGGCTGTAAAATGATGGAAACTCTGTTCTGTCTACTAGGCAAGCCTATTTTACCTCCAGGAAATGCCTGGAGGTGTAGAATTCTTAGCAGCACAGTTGCTTCTGATTTCAATTGCAAAAAATCCCTAACACTTTTGGTTACTTTTGACTGTTACTTCATTGGCTAGATCAGGAGTTGATAGCATGGCCCAAATTAAATTAAAATGGTTAAAAAATAAAGCCTGATTAAATTCAAGGAGCCTGACTTTTGAACCATATCGAGAACTGGACTGTTAGATCACTGGTCCATTTTAGCCAATACTGTTTCTTAAACTGCCAACCATTCCTTCCTGCCCAATTAGATCTTTCCTAGTCTTGCAGCTCAATTTCTTTTTGAACTAGTTATGGAGTGAATTGAAACTCTGATCTTCAGGTTGCAAGATATATACTCTGCCACTGAGCAATTGCTTTCTTCCAAAAGTACATGATTAAAAAAACTCTCTATGTACTTTTAAGAGTATATCATATACTCTTAAATCAATCTGTTCTATTATACAGCAGGCAGTTGTCATCATTCTTGTCAAGCACATAAATAACCGATCGCATTGGTATTCTGGATACTCTCAGATTAGAACATTTGGGGAATTTTCTAATATTCATCATAAAAAGCTGGACAGCACTCAAAGCCTGCTGGTTTGACTAATGGCCTTTACTCCCTTGCACTGAACCACAGCATGAATATGCCATGGCAAAGTCATTTTTCTGCTGTGTCCTCATTATGTTGTCTACATTTCATCCCCAGTTTAAAGTCATCCTCTGCAGTTTTGGTACCAAGGCAGTGTCCTCCCTTTTGAACAGGCAACAAGATGCAACAGTTTTGCTGTAGATGAAATCTGATGAAATTCATCAGCCATTCAGGTTATGACACAGATGATCCTTGGAAGATGGGATCAGACCAGAATCTAGCGACCAAACCGGTGCATGCATGCCCTTTCCCTCTGGCCCCTGGTCACTGTATTCCAGGGCCATTCTGCTTTGGCTACTGGTCAAGTGTAGCTCTTTCAAACTACCACTCTGTCCCTCTACCAGGTTCCTAAGCTGATCACCTGCTGAGTTATATAGCATGGACAGCGTGAGCAACAACTGACCAATGAGGTTAGCAGGAGAATTGCACATTGACATGGAATGGAGAGTAGGTGTATCTCTCTGCCGCTTCAAGTGCAACTCTGTGAAGATCCTGCGCTTTTGGACATGGGTTTAGCACCTTCTTGGAATAATGCTAAATCCATGTTTTGCATGGGTATGTTCAAAGAGAGTCTGACTATCAACTGACAGTCAAACTGGAGTGAGTTTTGACAGATGGCTACATCTGCTAGTCTAGACATTTGTCAAAACTTGCTTCCTCTCCATTCCGAACCCCAATTCATTCTGCATTAAGGTGGGTGTTTTTTCACTGGCTGGAAGTGAAACAAAGTTGGGGAATTCATAAACTGCTGTTGTTAATATGCCTTGTTACGTTGTAAATAAGAATATCACCATTTGCTGGCATTATGCCTACAACAGGATAGGGATAGACAGGAGCAGCAAATTTTATAGTTAAACATAGTTTCTGCCAGCTGAAGGACTGGTGGATAACACTTGGAAAAAAATAATACTAGAAAGTGAACAAAACTCTGGGGAAGCAAAAGAAAGCAACTTTCTAGGAATGATGTTCATGGAATACCACCTCTTTGTTCTTTGAAAAGCCCCTATTATCTTTGTAGCCCTGCCCCATTACTTCGTAGTTACACCCTCACTGACCTCTCTAGGCACATGTTGTATTATAGCCAATGAAATGTTGTGCTGTATTATCCAATCACACGTATGCTTTCATTTGAACAAATCTATTAAGAGGGAATGTAACTCCACCCTCTCAGGGCCTGTTTTTCTTTCCAATACTGAGAATAAACCACTCTGTGCTTCAGTGTAATGTATACTTGTTTCCAGTTTAAACAAACCCCTTTTAGGGATTTTTTTCTACTACAATTCAAAGGGAAAAAAAAGAAGAAAAACTGAAGAGAGAACCAGTGTGATATAAACTGGGACTGGGAAGATACAGGTTCAGGTCTATCCCCATCCATGGAATCTCACAGAATGACATGGGAATGTTCACTATCTGTCAACCCATCCTACTTCGTAAGGTTGTGAGGAAATGTTTAAAGGCACGATTGCTATGCATGCCACTTTGAATTCCTAGAGGAAATATGGAAGATGAATCAGTAATACGTATATAAATACTGTAATGCACTCACCTGTTATTCTGTTCCTAACCACAAAGAAGAATGGATGATCCACTATAATTTGGGGGTACAGCACAGCCATTCTACTAATTGCAATCATTCCTAGGGAATGGGAGAAAAAAAAATTTTTTGGAAGTATTTCTGTCACATCATTTCTCCCTTTTGTTGCCACTCCATTTGTAGCACACCTGAAGTGCACAAACAAGAATTAAAAACCCACCATACTAACAGGTTGTCAGGAAGCACAACGCTAACCTAAAACCAAGAAAGATTTGGAAAGAAATGGATGTGTCTAGATATGTTCTGTGAATGATTAACAACTGGTAGTGGTGTAATTTATTTCCACCACTTTGGGAACAGCTTATAACTTACAAACAAGCTGACTTGGGAGACTTATTACAGCCATTCCTTTTTGCAGAGAAGGCATACACTGGATAACCCCACCATCCACTTGGGTTATTGCTAAACGCAGGACAGATACACTCATTGAAACATATTCTGTGTTAATCCTAACTGGCCACAATAAATCCCAGGAATGCACTCTTACTTTGAAGTCTTAATTCTGGTACACAGAATTTTCAATGCAAATAGATGCAAATTCTGGTTCAATTTTTGCAAAACTTTCAAATGACATATTTTGATTACCTTCACTATCACAGCAGTGTTACTGCTAGGGCTACTTTCAACCAGACCTAATATTCTTATTAGAGGTGATAACACTAGCTCCCTGTCTGATGTCAAAGAGGACACTGCATAATAATGAAACTCATTATTACAGTGCCTTATCCTCCACAGATTGGTCTTGTCTCCAATTAGTGAATCTTCTGTGGGCCTTACAATCAGATTCATTCATTAGTCATTTACTTTGGTTTAGATGAACCAGAATTTCCCTTAATCCAGGATTTGAAATCTATTTCAAATTGCAACTTGAGAGGCTGGTTTAAAGGAATCTTGGTTTGCCTTAATCACAGGAATGATAGAGCAAGTCACAAATGAAATTTGGAGAAGGGAACAATTTGCTCCAGTAAGGATGGATTTGGTGGGACAGTGGCTTAAGTCATTATCGTGGTTCATTACATTCATCTACTAAATTATCTCAAGATGACACAGCAAACCACAGTGAGCCACAGTTCATTAGTCTTACTCTCTCTTGCTTATTATTTCAGCAATCGTTCCTGATTGGCTAGCATGTCCTGTTGTTATTTTCCTAATTACAACAATGAAAAAAGTCTCTGGTTGCCAATGAACATCTATGTCAGGGTTTTTCAAATGGTGGTTTCACAGAACCTAGGGTTATACGAGAGACTAAATATGAAAGACTAAGGGTAAAAAAAAAGTTTACTCAAATACAGCCAATTTTTTATTGCTAGAGTAGTGTTTCTTAACCTTGGCATCTTTAAGATGGGTGGACTTCAACTTCCCAAATTCCCAAGCCAGAATTCCCCATGTTGGCTGGAGAATTCTAAGAGTTGAAGTCCATCCATCTTAAAGTTGCCAAGGTTGAGAAACACTGTGCTAGAGCTTTGCCTCTTGATCAGACATTCTGGGAATTTTCTTTTTCAACAGCAGCAGCCTAAGTCTTAGACCAAGCTCCTCCCTAGGTCACTATCTGCAGAATGGGGGAAAGCCTATTCTTTCTGTTGTTCTTTTCTTTTATTAAAAAAACCTCATAGTCACCTGGGGCGGGGAGATGGCAAAACAGAAGACATCACTACAGGGCAATTTCATTTACTGTTTCTCCTTTTCTCTACCTCATCTGTCTGAAAGACTAATGGCTGCTTAACTCTACGTTAACCCTTAGCTGAAATACAAATGACAGAGCGCATGCTGGATCAATGATTAATGTAGTTAACAAACACAAACAAATGTAAATCAAACAAAGTCAAAAGAACCTGATTTAATGCTCTTTCTAAACTATAATTTAAGCCATGGTATGGATTTAGCCAGCCAAACAACAATATGGCTTGGCCTGTTGTGAGAATGAAGTCAATATAAGACACTTGTTCCTAATCACTTAACCGCCAACAGCAGGGAACAGTAAGGAACACTTCATGAATTTGCAAAGCCTTCTCCAACTTGATGACCATGAAATATATGGGACTACAATCTTGATCATCCCCATCCAGGATTTCCTATCACTATACTGTTGGAAAGGGATTGGCTACCTACCTGAATTAGCATCTAGGAAGGCTTGTGTTTTTCTGAGACTTAAACTGAGACATCCTACATATGCAGATTTAATTTGTAGTATCAGGTATACACAGGAAATATTGTAGTTCAAACACATTAGTATCAAGGCAAAATTTAGTCTTAATTAAATTTGTAAGTCTTTAATGAGTCCCCTCTAGAGCTTTACAGTTTGCGAGCATTTTATTAACTTTTATCTTTATTACACTGGCATATAAAAAGAGAGAGTGATGGAATAAATAAATAAACCCCCCAGGCATGCCCAGCCGTGAAAGTATTCCTTGTCTGCATAGTTTTGAATAATGCACCTTCCCAGGCAGGGCTGCAGTAGGAGTGAGTCTGGCTCCATAGATTTCTGCTTTCCTACTAAGGGGGAAAAAAAATAATAATTGGGAAATGGATACATTATTGCAAACCAATAAGAGGATGTTTAAAATTATTTAAAAATCTGCTGAGGTGAAAGGTAGATATTTGTATGAGATAGGCATATAGTTCTTCCATCTGGTCTGTGTTTATTTATTTATTTAATTTGTATGCTGCCTAACTCCCCCAGATGTGTTATTCAAATACATCCAAATGGGCTCCATCAATGTTGCAGGAGGAGCTGGGATCTGAAGTAGGCAGGACAAGGGTGCAATGTGGGTGAGACCATATTCATACATTAGTGCTGTGTTTCTCAACCGTGGCCACGTGAAGATGTGTGGACTTCAACTTCCAGAATTCCCCTGCCGGCCATGCTGGCTGGGGAATTCTGGGAGTTGAAGTCCACACATCTTCACGTGGCCAAGGTTGAGAAACACTGCATTAGCAGGATTGAAAATCCCAGTGTCTCTTCCTTGGTGTGTTTTTGGGAGGGATTTGGGGATTGTTTTCAACAATTTTTAAGAACAACTTTCTTATGTTTTCCTGGCTGAAAATGATAGGAAATCACCTTGCCAATATTCAGCAACGGTAGTCACAAAATAGAGGCTTGGGGCCACAGATTGCCCATCCTGATCTACAAGCAGCTTTTGCAAATGAAATTGTATTTCTGCATGATTGCCAGCTCATTTGGAAACAGAAACGTCTTGCAAACTGATCTAATGTTATATAGCTGCAACCTGATGCTTCTGATAAGAGCAAAGGGATATTTTTATCTCCTCGCTCTGGTGTTGCAGTCAAGCCTCCCTTCCTCTTTCCTTCTGGTATTACAAAGACATTTAATCAAAGGCTGCGGCAGGAGAAGAATAAATCATGGAAAAGAATCAGCTGCAGAATTTTCTTGGCTCAGAATTCAGATATATAATGAACACATAATGCAATTCCAAATGGCCAAGTTTCTATTGCTTTTTTTCTTAACCTAGTACACCATCTAAATAATCTCTAATCTTTTTAGCATATAAATCCAGCTTCTCTCAACTTCTGTTTAATCTAAGGACGGAGACAGGACTAAGTTGAAAAATTAGGCTTTATATTTTAAAGAATAGGGTTTGCTTTCCCCCTATTATTCCCTGCAAGCCTGAGAAGGATGCTGAGTGCAACTGGACAATACTATGGCACTGGGCAGGACCCAACACCATTGGATAACCTCCTCCCTCATGGTAATACTAAGACTGTAATTAAGTGCAGGCAAGATCGTCCTCCCACATTTCAGGGCTTGAAGACAAATTTTAAATGAGCCTTATGCCCACACATTCCTTACCAGAAAGGTAAATAAATGGCTAGAAAGCATGCGAAAATGTCCTCCAAGAAAGCCCTTCTTAAATTGCCCTTTCACGATGTGTTGCAGTATACTATGGAGTATTTATCTGCACAGTCCCCTTGGGAGCTGAGGCATTCATTATTTTGGTTGATGAAAATTAGAGCATAAATGTCACGGTCCCACTTCATATGCTTATCAGGCTAGCCATCTTCTATGGCTTGGATTACCAGGAGGTGGTCTCTCCTCCACCTCCATATACAATACACATAAAATGCATCTTGTTAGGATTGTTGGGTCTGAACTAAGAAGAGGAAAATTCAGCTGTGAAGCTTGCCACTGACTCTCTAGGGCAGGGGTGGGCAAGCTAGGGCCTTGCAGATAGTTTGGACTTCAATTCTCATCAGCCCCAGCCAATGGCCAAAGACTGTTTGAGTTGAAATCCCAAGCATCTAGAAAGCCGTCAGCTAAACTTAAAAGCATCCCTAACAAAAGCTCAAATCTCCTTGTAAACATGCTCTTCACATCCCTGCCAAATAATGTTTTGTCCATCTTTGGCAACTTGATGTGAGGGGAGGAGGAGGAGGAAGAGGAGAAGATGATCCCACCTACTGCTTGCTTCAGCCCCACACTTACTCCACATTTACATTTACTCCACACTTTTATGAAGCTTACCTGAAGCAGCAGCAGCTTCAGAACCTTCTTCATTGACTTCAAGGACAGATTTGTGAACTGCTTTTGACAGGTAAAGCTCTTTGTTATCTGGAGGAAAAACAAAAGTCAGAGCATTAGCAATTCAGCGTTTTCACCAAAGACCCATAAATGTCTTCCAATACCAGAGGAAAATAAACTTTGGGCATAATTTACACCATCAGTGGGACAACTGCCATCCAAAGGTACAGATGACACCCTCTGTGATCTAAGCTGTGGATATTTCATTTCATTTCATTTCATTTCATTTCTCTTTTCTCAGAACTTCTGTTCCCCAAGTCCCACTACTTTCTTCTGCTCAGAGACCTTCAGATTTGGTATACATAAATGTGAAGCCATCAGATTACTGGCCTACCTGAGACAGATGCAGATAATCCATTTTCCTTGGAATCTCTCCTCCCCCTTTTTTTCCATCCCTGAAGCACCCCCTGCACTGTCATGTATTCAGTGACTCAACTGCCAAAAGTTTGTGGTGCAATTTTATATCATATTGAAGCAAAATAAAATAAAATACAACAAATAAAATAAAAAATCAACACTCTAGTAGAAGCCCTAACCAAGTCCCCCCAAATAAAAGAAAAGGGCAAGCCATTATATTAATACATCAAAAGCATACAAACCCCATGTCTAAGCTCAATATTGCCCATGAATGCAGAGATTTCAGGTTTATAGGCTTTTTGCAATTTTCCCTATATCTCTGAGACCTACTGGCCTCCATTAATCAGGCAGAGAAGAAGAATTAAAGAACAGATGCCCTGAGCATATGAACAACACAGGAATTTGTCAGAATCAGAAACAAGGTCATAAAACCTTTCTTGCAAAAATCCATTTCTGGTTTTCACTGAAGCATTCTTTTTTGGAAACCCAAACGCCTTCAGTTCTTGCTCCTGTTAGCTAACTGGAATAATCAATGAGAGGCTGAAATTTATGATGTGCTACAAAACACTCAGCAACCACTTCTGTCATTGGTCCACTTTGACTCTGCAGCATCACAAGCTGTGTTTGCTATAGCTGGAAACTTGCTTCACTCAACTAGATACTGTATAATAAAGTTTGAATCTGTACTCTAATTCTGAGCTCTAATAGTTAAAATAGAGGAGGTTAAGCCTCCTTCAGGATGAACTCAACTACTGGGGACTACATAAACCTATCTGTGGCAACAATATGGAAATGGTTGACCACTTCTTTTTCCCGGACATTTTTCAACTTCCTAGTCTAGCCTATAGCCCTGTGATTTCCTGATTGTCTCCCACCCAAGTACTAATCAGGTCTAACACTGCTTAACTTTTCAAGATGAGCCAGACGACGTGGTACAGCCACAAAGCCGAGCATGGACTAAGGTCTCTTCAAATCTAAACAAGAGTTGCAAGAAGCCAAACATTTATCATTATAGAAAGGCTGAAGTCTGATGCACCCCAAGAGAACAGATGGTTGAACCCAAGAATGGTACTTTGTTTTTGTATACTCCCCCATTCAGTAGTACTCTGGGTGGTGCACAATAAGAGAAAAGGAGAAAAATAATAATAAGAACGTAATCTAAAATGATCTTTAATGTAATAAACAGTGGTCACCCAACAATCATACAATGACTGAGTAAAAGAATCTTCAGGGTCTTTCTAAGCAAAAAGATAGACAAGGCTACCTTCTGGAGTTAGAGTATTCCAGAGCGTGGGAACCACTACCAAAAATGCCTATCATCTTGTGACTCCCCTAGAGTTCTCTCAGGGGGTGGCTTTCTCAACAGGCCATCTCTTGATGACCAGACTGGATGGGGAGAATCATCCCTGATATAATGGGTAATGACCAGCACTTTGAATATACCTGATAAATATGAACACGCACGTACACTGGCCTTTTTGGTTAAAACCAATCCAATTAAAAAAAGGGGGGGGCAGGAAAGTTAGAAATGCTGCTGCTTTTCTATTTGTTTTCCTTCTCCTCTGGTAATTAAAAAAGGAAAGATGTTTTTATGAGAAATGAAAATAAAAGAAACACTGGGTATATTGCATAAAACCAGAGCTACAGGAAATTTAATAACACTGTTTCAAAAGCATCACTCTCTATTTTGTTTCATAAAGCACAATGTGGGCAACCTTTTCCATACTATCTGGATTTGTCTCTTTTAATCATGAAGAAAAATTAACAGTGCTACCCTGGAGCACATTAATCTTTTCTATGCTTAATGCTCAACATTCATCTATAAACAACTTGATCTTTAAACAGTAGAGGAGTTAATTTGTTTGAATAAAACAGGTTGTTCTCTCTTGGTTTTCGTAAGGTAAGGGAGTTAGGTGGTATAAATCTTCAGGAAAATATTCATCTCTGGGAGGAAGTGCAAGTCTAATGCCAGGCTGGTTGTGTGCTTTATAACCTCATCCTGTGCCTGGGTGCATCAACACTTCACAGGAGCTAAATCTAGATGGCTGTGTAGTAGAACATAAGAACTGCTCAGCTGAATCAAGGCAAAATTTAATATTTTCTGACAATAGCCACCAGTCCAACATCTTTGGAAAACTCACAAGGAGACATTCCACCCTGGATTCTCCACAACAGCTGGTTCTTAATCTAAGACAACTGTAATCTCCAGCACACAGGGGCTAAAGTGTAACTCCCAACATCCTTTATATTGGCCATGAGGACTGTGGCTGCTGGAAGTGCAGTGATCAATATCTGAAGGTCCACCAATTACCCATTCCTATAATGGAACAGGAGTTTTGACCTTAAGGCGACACTTTGGCATTGATCATTACTCAACTGCTGTTGGCTTGCAATTTACTTCACAGCAGCAACCAAATTGCAGATAGCCCAGGCCCTCTATTAATGCTGCCCAGGCAAATGTCCATGGACACTAGCCTCACCTTTTAATACAGCTGAAGAGAGAGCCAAGTCTTCTTGACCTAAATGCAAGATAAAGACCAAAAATGGGTTTGATATTACGCAGGATCCAATTACTATTTCTTTGTGAAGTCCTCAAAGGATTTCCATTTAGCTGTATGAGAAAGATCTTATGGAAAGCTTCCAACATGCCAGTATACTGTATCCTGTTATGTTTGTCCTAGAGGGCTTGTGGAATCAAATCCTCCAAACTCCAAGGCAAAGGGAATCAAGATCTGGACAGAAGACGTGTCTCTGATGGATAGAGAGGAGGTCAAGGCAACTTGGAAAACAGAAGTACTGCCAATGGGAGAAATGAACCAACAGGGCAAACTACAGTTGCTGATATTAACAAGGTTTGATGTATATTCAGTTAATTGAATCTCTATTGATCCATGCCAGGGGGATGGATAATGGTCAATGGGGGAATGAATAAAAACATGTAGAACCAAAGTCTGCTCTACGAAAATCGCTGAGAGACTGGGAGACTATATCACACCTGCTGCAAAAGATTAGAAATTGTCTATTATCCTGTAAGAGAAACAGACCTTAGGATTGCCCAATTGGATTTGATAACTATGCCCACAGAATGAAATTTCTACTTGTGCTCTTTGACCTGTGGTATTTAAAAATAAATTAAGAAGGTTCAGCAGGAGCCATGCCTAATTGTATGGAACGGGTGAGCGCTGGACTCCTGCTGAACAATTCCGTAAGCTGCAGAAAGTTTCAAACAGGGTTCTGTGCAGGTACAAAAAGTAGTGAATGACAGAAACTATAATGAAGATGAATGCTCTGTTTTTCATTCAACATTCACACAGTCCCTGGGTTACTTTGTAAGTGAAGAAATGTAGCAGCATCACACTGTAATTTTCCTTGTAAAAATGTGTTTGTTAAACTAAATGGGAATACGGATAATTTTTCTGCAAAGATGCAAGATCCCCCCCGCCCCTTACCCTGTCCTATTTCTGCCTGATGCAATCTGCAGGTACAGGAGATTCTCACTATTGACTGGGAATTCTGGAAACTGCAATCCCAACAATTCTGGTAGGTAGTGAGTCAAAGAGAGTTGATCTAAGCAGGGCTTAAGGATTGATTAACTGATACCAAACTGATACTAATATCAATCACTCAACCAACCAGCCAGCCAATCAAGCTCAAATCCCAGTCAGTGTAGAATGGATTGTGTCCCTGATTACACAAATTTTTATTTTTAATTTATTATTCTTAAAAAATACTGAGGAAACAGGGAACATAGGATTAACTTAAATCTGTAAAAGGCAAAGGCTTTCAGAGAAAAACTGATAGTTCTGGCCTCTGTAGTAGGACAGGAAACCTGATCACTCTTTCCATATCAGGATGGCCCAATATTATAATCCAAACTGCTGAGGCTGGCTCTACTACAAATTGAGATGGCACAAACGTCAGGTGAGAAGAGCACAGAGAAAATGCATAACTGAGAGCCATAACAAGTATTTCAGCCAGGCTTAATTTGAGATGGGAAATGGAAAGCTTAGCAGTGGCAGGCATGACTAAATACCTTGTTAAAAGTCCAGACAGTGTGGGCAGGTTCCCATTAATCCCAAGGGCTCTTGCTAACAGCTTTTAGAAGAGGGTGATATTCTACTCTTCTTAATGAATGTCAGATCATCCCATTTTGTAGCCAATAAAAGCAATGCCATGACCACAGTGATACTTCTGGAGGTTTGTTTTTTCCCCCCGATTCCTTCAACTGATATTTATGAAGGACAACTATTTACAGTAGGATCTAAGTTAGTAACAGCACTCATGATAGTTAACAACAGCCATCATAAATGAAATCATACATTCATCAGCAATAAACCTCGAAGAAGGTCATGCAAAGCCATCTCTGCATTGTTTTCAAGACAACTGTATGGATGTGCCACAAACATTTAGATAAGGTTGGGGTGCCAGATGATATTCCTGCCTCTTCCCCTCCCCAGGTTGGAAGGCACTGCTCTAGCTATTGGGGAAGAAAATCTGGAAGATGTAGAGGTGATGACATGGCCAGACCAGAGCTGTGGTCACTGATATTACCAGTACTGAAAGAATACATGGAATGTGCAAAGTATGAATGAAGAGAACGTTGACATTGTCAAAGTGAAAATAAAGTGCACTAAAGTAGATATTTTAGAAATAAGTGAACTTAGATGGACCAGC